TTTCTGATGTAAAGCACAATAGTTCTGCTGACATAAAGGTTTTTTTTTTCATCTTCTACAGCAGGTTCAGTGTTTTGTTCCTGAGGAGAAACTGTCAGCTCAAACTTGGCTCATGATTAGCATTTCCAGGGAAGCTATCATGCAAATGTTTATGGCAGCTGGTAACTCTTATCCTTCTTCTCCCATCTCAGGGACCCAAATTTTCCAACTGTTGTTCGTGACTTTGGAAAAGCCCTTACATTTGTGGGTATAGTTTCTCTTAAAAAGGGAAACCTGCACAAACTTGCCTACCTAGTGCATACTAACTAAATGTTTGTTCACTTAGTGAAACTTGGTTTTTGTTGATTATAGTTGATGGTAGTTTGTTATATTCTGTTTTTTTTTCTTTTTTTCTTTTTTCTTTTTCTTATTTTTGACAGGCAGAGTGGACAGTGAGAGAGAGACAGATAGAGAGAAAGGTCTTCCTTTGCCGTTGGTTCACCCTGCAATGGCCGCCGCAGCCGGCTTGCTGCGGCCGGCGCACCGCGCTGATCCGAAGCCAGGAGCCAGGTGCTTCTCCTGGTCTCCCATGGGGTGCAGGGCCCAAGGACTTGGGCCATCCTCCACTGTACTCCCTGGCCACAGCAGAGAGCTGGCCTGGAAGAGGGGCAATGGGGACAGACGACCCAACCGGGACTAGAACCCGGTGTGCCAGCGCTGCAAGGCAGAGGATTAGCCTATTGAGCCACGGCACCGGCCTGTGTTTTTTTCTTTTAATATGTTAGATGAAGACCTGGAGTGATTTGATTACTTGTAAATTCATTAAGTAAAATAGCCCCCCAAAAGATTGTGTTATCAGTATGTGAAGAAAAGCTGAAGATGCTTTGTAATTATTTGTTAAACATTAATTAAGAAGAATTTCATGGTATAACAGGTTACTTAAACATTTTTTTAAAGTTCAAAATATGATTGTATCATCTCTTTCTATAGTGGTCTATAAGAATATTTTGGGACCAGCATTGTGGTGTGGCAGGTTAAGACACAGCCTGTGATGCTGCATCCCATATCAGTACTGGTTAAGTCCCAGTTGCTCTGCTTTTCAGTACAGCTCCCTGCTAATGGCACCTGGGAAAGCAGCAGAAATGGTCCAAGTGATTGGACTCCTGCCACATATGCTGAAGACCTAGATGGAGTTCCTGGTCTCTGGCTTTGGCCTGACCCAGTCCAGTCATTATGACCATGTAGGGAGTAAACCAACAGTTGGGTGATCTCTTCCTCAATGTATCTCCCCCTTTCTGTGCGACTCTGCCTTTGAAATAAATAAATCTTAAAACAAACAAACAGGGGCCGGCAGTGTGATGCAATAGGTTAATCCTCCGCCTGCGGTGCCAGCATCCCATATGGGTGCCAGTTCCAGTCCCGGGTTGCTCCTCTTCCAGTCCAGCTCTCTGCTGTGGCCTGTGATAGCAGTAGAAGGTGGCCCAAGTGCTTGGGCCCCTGCACCCGCATGGGAGACTGGGAAGAAGCACCTGGCTCCTGGCTTCGGATCGGCGCAGATCCAGCTGTAGTGGCCATTAGGAGAGTGAACCAACGTAAGGAAGACCTCTCTCTCTGTCTTTCCCGCTCACTGTCTGTAACTCTAGCTGTCAAATAAATAAATAAACTCTTAAACAAACAAACAAAACAACCAGCAAGATTACTTCTTTAGTTGAAATACTTTGAGGACTGATTCTTGTGAAGCACATTGTCTGATTTGTAGCAATCCATGATCCAGTCAGACTCAAAAGTAAGTTTAGCATTTATTTTCAGAAAGACAAATCATTCTCAATAGGAATATTTAAAATAGTGAAGATGAAACACTGTTTAGCCCCTTCCCATTGTTAATCTTCATTTGGAATCTAAAATGTTCTCATAGGTCTTTAATAGTAGTTGGGCGTTTATATTTATGCTCATTTTAAAAATTATTGATTGGAGGTTAGCATTGTGGTATACTGGGTAAAGCTGCCACCTGCAGTACCAGCATCCCATATAGGCGCTGGTTTGAGTCCCTGCTGTTCCACTTCTGATCCAAGGTCCTTGTTGATGTGCCTGGGAAAGCAGCAGAAGATGGTCCAAGTCCTTGGGCCCCTGCACCCATGTGGGAGACCCAGAAAAAGCTCTTGGCTTCAGCTTGGCTCAGCTCTGGCCGTTGCAGCCATTTGGGGAGTGAGCCAGTGAATGGAAGATCTCCTCTCTGTTTCTCTGCCTCTGCTTCTGCCACTCTGTAACTCTGCCTTCCAAATAAATAAATAAATAAATCTTTTAAAAAATTACTGATTGTTGCAGATCTTGTTTATATTTCATCTTTAGTGTTTGGTCCTATGGTAGCATTTGTGATGAAATGATTTAAAAAGTAAAATGACATTTTTTATTAATTTACAGAAGACATTTCATTATTTTCAATAGGAATATTTTAAATAGTATAGAAGTAAGAAACAGTTTATTCCCTTTACTTTTTTTTTAAAAACTATTAATCTTGAGGCCAGTGCTGTGGCGTAGTAGGCTAAGCCTCCACCTACAGTGCTGGCAATCCCATTTGGATGCTAATTCCTGTCCCAGCTGCTCCTCTTCAGATATAGCTCTCTGCTTTTGGCTTGGGAAAGCAGTGGAAGATGTCTCAAGTGCTTGGGCCCCTGCATCTGTGTAGGAGACCTGGAAGAAGCTCCTGGCTCCTGGCTTTTGATAAGCTCAGCTCCACTTGGTGTGGCCACTGGGAGAGTGAACCAGTGGACAGAGGACCTTTTTCTCTGTCTCTCCCTCTCTGTCTGTAACTCTCCCTCTCAAATAAATTAATAAAAAAAATTTTTAAAAAAACCTTAAATTTAATATGTTATCCCTCTTAGTATTTTTTTTTGTTTCTTCTACTTAATACTTTGGTTGAATACTGTAATCAATACACAGTTATTCTTAAGTGCTGAAACTTAACTAAAAGTGATTGCTGTTAAATACAAGAGTGGGAATAAGAGAGGGAAGAGATGTGCAATTCGGGTCATGCTCAAGCTGACTTACCTCAAACGGTAGAGTTAGAAACATACCAGGGGATTCCAATTCAAGCCCATCAAGGTGGCATGTACCAATGCCATCTCACTAGTCCCAGTGATCAATTTCTGTTCACAATTGATCATAATGATAGGACTAAGAACCAAAGGGATCACATAAACAAGACTAGTGTCTGCAAATACTAGCTGATAGAATAAAAAAGGGAGAGAAAGATCCAACATGGGAAGTGAGATACACAGCAGACCCATAGAATGGCAAATGTCCTAAACAGCACTCTGGCCTCAGAATCAGCCCTTAAGGCATGCAGATCTGGCTGAAAAGCCCATGAGAGTATTTCAGGCATGGAAAGCCAAGACACTCTGGGGGGAAAAAAAACAACCTAAATGAAAGATCTCTGTGAGTGAGATCCCAGTGGAAAGAACAGGTCATCAAGGAAGGAGGTACCTTTCTCTGAAGGGAGGAGAGAACTTCCACTTTGACTACGACCTTGTCTAAATATGATCAGAGTCAGTGAACTCAGGGGGCTTCCATAGCCTTGGCAGCTCATGACAAGAGCCTAGGGTGATTACTGATGCCATAAACAAGAGTGTCAATTTGTTAAGTCAACAACAGGAGTCACTATGCACTTACTTCTCATGTAGGATCTTTGTCCTCAGTGTGCTGTACATTGAGATTTAATGCTATAACTAGTACTCAAACAGTATTTTTCACTTTATGTTTCTGTGTGGGAGCAAACTGTTGCAATCTTTACTTAATGTATGCTAACCTGATCTTCTGTATATAAAGAGAATCGAAAATGAATCTTGATGTGAATGGAAGGGGAGAAGGAGTGGTAAAGGGGAGGGTTGCGGGTGGGAGGGAAGTTATGGGTTGGGAAGCCACTGTAATCCATAAGCTGAACTTTGGAAATTTATATTCATTAAATAAAAGTTAAAAAAAGATAATAAAAAAAACTTAATCTTTATTTGGAATTGAGAATTTACCACTCACTCTTATGGTGGAGGTTTAGTAATTTTTCTTGTTTTAAAAATTACTGATTATTAGTGATGAATCATATGTTTAAGCATATATTATATATGTGCATATGTAAATATACTGCATTTTATATTTTTTAATATAAATTATCACAATTCTAAAATTACTTATAAAGAAGGAATCATAGTAAACTAGGCTATTACTAGTATCTTTTGGAATTCTCTTTTTTTTATAATTAACACAATTGTAGGGACAGGTGCTGTGCATAGTGGGTAAAGCCACTGCTTGTTATGCTGATATTCTATATGGGCGTTGGTTTTAGTCCCAGCTACTCCACTTCTGATGCAGCTCCCTGCTAATGCACCTGGGAAGGCAATGGAAAGTGGCCCAAGTCCTTGGGCCCCTGCAACCACATGGGAGACCCAGGGGAAATTCCTAACTGCTGGCTTCAGCCTGGCCCAGCAGTGATAGTTGTGGCCATTTGGGGAGTGAACCAGCAGATGGAAGATCTCTCTCTCTCTGTCTGTCTCTTCCTCTCTATCCTTATGACTCTGACTTTCAAATAAATAGATAAATCTTTAAAAATAAATAAATAAAATTAAAATATTTGTACATAGGAATTTTCATTTTTTAATTGAAAAAAGACTGTTCACATCCCATTAATATGTAAATGTTAGGGGATTATAGAAGTAGCATATACTTGCGAAACTAAATACTTGAAAATTAAAAGAAGAAATAAGCTTTTTAATTTTTAGGTTAGATTTTAATTTTCCCTTCTTAGTCTAAGGAATACTTTAGTGCAAATTAAATTTTTGCTGAAAATGAACAAATAATCATTTATACGACTTTGATATTTTTGTTACCTTTGGTAGTATGGTCATACTGGGAAGATAGAAGTATCTAGAGTCAATTTTCCCTTTTATAATATTTGTTTGGCTGAGTGGATGTTTTTTATCCCATAGTTTTAAAATAATGTTTTTTTAAAATAACTTTTCTTTTTTTCTTAGCCTCTGGAGTTGCTTTGGCACTCATTAGATGAATGGCTAGTTTTAATAGCTACAGAATTGATGAAAAACAAAAAAGATTCGACGGATATCACTTCTATTTTACTGAAACAAAAAGGCCAAGATCAAAATGCTTCTTCCATTCCACCATTTGAACCTCCAGGACCTGCAAACTATGAAAATTTATCCACTGGCACAGGGGAATCTAAACCAGATGCTCTTGCAGGGAAACAGGAAACCAATGCAGATTGTCAGGATGTTATTTCTATGACAGCTAACCGGCTAAGTGCTGTCATTCAAGCTTTTTACATGTGCTGTTCTTGTCAGATGCCTCCGGGGTAAGAAGACTAGGCTTATTTTTTTTCCTCTGGTGAAGAATTCTATGACATTTTTGTAATTCCAGTAACAACAAGTGTGTTGGTTTTTACGTTTTAGTCTTATCTTGTTTAGGATGCTTACTGTACTAATCTAGATCTAGTACAAAATATTTAAATTTCAAGCAAGTTATACAGAAGTTATTTCTGTTCAGAATAGCGAATGTCACCTGAGCATGATTTCTTAATTATGTACTTGAAATGTGTAGAGCATAGATGCTCAAAATCTTTAAAGTCACTTGTTTATATCATCTGTTGATGAATTGTATATATGATTTCATTTTACAAATTGACTAGGCATGCCTGCATTTTCTAAATTTATAAAGACAATACAAAGTAAATTCTTTTTTTTCTTTTAGTCTAAAAGCAAGTTCAGTAGAATTAATATTTACCAAATTTTATATATTATATCACCAACTTTTAGTTTATGTGTTCTAATTATTCTTTACTCCCCACAGAATGACTTCACCTCGTTTTATTGAATTTGTCTGCAAACATGATGAAGTTTTAAAATGTTTTGTTAACAGGTGAGGCTGTCTGGGATTCATAGATTGCTGTGTAGCCTTTCCTCTCTTTATTTACAGTTTCATCTGAAATGAAAAAATATTTCTTTTCATATTCAAAATATGCTCAATAACAAGTGAAAATGTAATAGGTGTGAATTAATATGTTTTTTCTGTTTCAGTTTATATATCTGAATTTGCATTTCACTTATAGCTGCTCACCCTTCTTGTCCATTTAAACAAAATATATTTTTCTTTTAGAAATCCAAAAATCATATTTGATCATTTTCACTTTCTCCTTGAATGTCCTGAGTTGATGTCAAGATTCATGCATATCATAAAAGCACAGGTAGACCTTTTCTTTATCTTGTTTTTAATCTAATGAACTTAGTTTTTGAAGTTTGATTGTTGTTTAATGGAATAATTATTACACTGAAGATTTAAAAGGAATGAAATTACATGTAACTTTAATGTAAGGGTAAAATTCCATCTTTAAGAAATGTGTATTGAGTGCCTACTACATGCAAAGCTTTGTGCAAAAAGAACACATTGCCACAATTCCTGAAGTGAGCTTCATAGAACACTGGTCTTTCATAGGCTGATAGTCTTGGAGAATAGGAATTTGTCTCCCTATCTATTTGGGACATAATAAATATGTCCTTAGGAAACTTAGCACATCAGCAGTATGTTGAAGGCTTTGAGAAGCCCATTGGTAAAAAGAGTGATTTAACTTTGTTACTCCACTAAACGTATTTGACCTGAGAACTTTTCCCCTACCAGAGTTGCACTTGTTCATTCCATGAATCTTGTGTTTAGTAAAACATGCTAGGGAAAAACTTGTTTTGCTTCTTTTTTTTTTTTTTAACTTTTATTTAATGAATATAAATTTCCAAAGTTCAGCTTATGGATTACAGTGGCTTCCCAACCCATAACTTCCCTCCCACCCACAACCCTCCCCTTTCCCGCTCCCTCTCCCCTTCCATTCACATCAAGATTCATTTTCGATTCTCTTTATATACAGAAGATCAGTTTAGCATATATTAAGTAAAGATTTCAACAGTTTGCACCCACATAGAAACATAAAGTGAAAAATATTGTTTGAGTACTAATTATAGCATTAAATCTCAATGTACAGCACATTAAGGACAAAGATCCTACATGAGGAGTAAGTGCATAGTGACTCCTGTTGTTGACTTTACAAATTGACACTCTTGTTTATGGCATCAGTAATCAGCCTAGGCTCTTGTCATGAGCTGCCAAAGCTATGGAAGCCCCCTGAGTTCACCGACTCTGATCATATTTAGACAAGGTCGTAGTCAAAGTGGAAGTTCTCTCCTCCCTTCAGAGAAAGGTACCTCCTTTGATGACCTGTTCTTTCCACTGGGATCTCACTTGCGGAGATCTTTCATTTCGGTGTTTTTTTTTTTTTTTTTTTTTTTTTTTTTTTTTTTTTTTTTTTTTTTTTTTTGTGCCAGAGTGTCTTGGCTTTCCATGCCTGAAATACTCTCATGGGCTTTTCAGCCAGATCCGCATGCCTTAAGGGCTGATTCTGAGGCCAGAGTGCTGTTTAGGACATCTGCCATTCTATGGGTCTGCTGTGTATCTCGCTTCCCATGTTGGATCATTCTCTCCCTTTTTGATTCTATCAGCTAGTGCTCGCTTCGGCAGCACATATACTAAAATTGGAATGATTCTATCAGCTAGTGTTTGCAGACACTATTCTTGTTTATGTGATCCCTTTGGCTCTTAGTCCTATCATTATGATCAGTTGTGAACAGAAATTGAACACTGGGACTAGTAAGATGGCATTGGTATGGACTAAGAGTCAAAGGGAGCACATAAACAAGTCTAGTATCTGCTAACACTAACCGATAGAATAAATAAAGGGGAGAGTGATCCAACATGGGATGTGAGATACTCAGCAGACTCATAGAATGGCGGATGTCCTAAATAGCACTCTGGCCTCAGAATCAGCCCTAAAGGCATTCGGATCTGGCTGAAAAGCCCATGAGAGTATTTCAGGCATGGAAAGCCAAGACACTCTGGCAAAAAGATCTCTGTGAGTGAGATCCCAGTGGAAAGAACAGGTCTTCAAAGAGGGAGGTGCCTTTCTCTGAAGGGAGGAGAGAACCTCCACTTTGACTATGACCGTGTCTAAACAAGATAAGAGTCGGAGAACTCAAGGGGCTTCCATAGCCTTGGAAACTCATGAGTGGTGCATAGGGAGATTACTGATGCCATAAACAGGAGTGTCAATTTGTAAAGTCAACAACAGGAGTCACTGTGCACTTACTCCTCATGTAGGATCTCTGTCCTTAATGTGCTGTACACTGAGGCTTAATGCTATAACGAGTACTCAAACAGTATATTTCACTTTGTGTTTCTATGGGGGTGCAAACGATTGAAATCTTTACTTAATGTACACTAAACTGATCTTCTGTAAAAAAAAAAAAAAAAGAAATTATCAATTCCCAACTTGACTCTCACTGGGATTAAACATGACAATAGGTCTGATCTGATTTCATCATCATTTAAAAAAAATCATCTATTATTTTTCACTTTATGTTTCTGTGTGGGAGCAAACTGTTGAAATCCTTACTTAAGGTATACTAAGCTGATCTTCTGTATATTAAGATAATCGAAAATGAATCTTGATGTGAATGGAAGGGGAGAGGGAGTGGGAAAGGGGAGGGTTGTGGGTGGGAGGGACGGTATGGGGGGGGGAAGCCATTGTAACCCATGAGTCGTACTTTGGAAATTTATATTCATTAAATAAAAGATAGAAAAAAAAAAAAGATGGCATTGGTACATGCCACCTTGATGGGCTTGAATTGGAATCCCCTGGTATGTTTCTAACTCTACTATTTGAGGTAAGTCAGCTTGAGCATGTCCCGAATTGCACATCTCTTCCCTCTCTTATTCCCACTCTTATATTTAACAGAGACCACTTTTCAGTTAAGTTTCAACACTTAAGAATAACTGTGTGTTGATTACAGTATTCAACCAAAAGTATTAAGTAGAACCAACAAAAAAAAAAATACTAAGAGGGATAACGTATTAAGTTGTTCATCAACAGTCAGGGCAAGGGCCGATCAAGTCACCGTTTCTCATAGTGTTCATTTCACTTTAACAGGTTTCCTTTTTGGTGCTCGGTTAGTTGTCACCGATCAGGGAGAATATGTGATATTTGTCCCTTTGGGACTGATTATTTCACTCAGCATAATGTTTTGAAATTCCTAACAGGGATCACTTTTCAGTTAAAATTTAAACACCTAAGAATAATTGTGTGTTAATTACAGAGTTCAACCAATAGTACTAGAACAAAAAGAATACTAAAGTGGATAGAGTATTACATTGTTCATCAACAGTCAGGACAAGAGCTGATCAAGTCACTGTTTCTCATAGTGTCCATTTCACTTCAACAGGTTTCCCCTTTGGTGCTCAGTTAGTTGTCGCCAATCAGGGAGAACATATGATATTTGTCCCTTTGAGACTGGCTTAATTCACTCAGCATGATGTTTTCCAGATTCCTCCATCTTGTTGCAAATTATCGGGTTTCATTGTTTTTGACTGCTGTATAGTATTCTATAGAGTACATGTCCCATGTGTTAATTTCTTTATCCAGTCTACTGTTGATGGGCATTTGGGTTGGTTCCAGGTCTTAGCTATTGTGAATTGAGCTGCAATAAACATTAATGTACAGACAGGTTTTTGTTTGCCAATTTAATTTCCTTTGAGTAAATTCCAAGGAGTGGGATGGCTGGGTTGAATGGTAGGGTTATATTCAGGTTTCTGAGGAATCTTCAGACAGACTTCCATAGTGACTTTACCAGTTTGCATTCCCACCAACAGTGGGTTAGTGTCCCTTTTTCCCCACATCCTCTTCAGCATCTATTGTTGGTAGATTTCTGAATGTGAGCCATTCTAACTGGGGTGAGGTGAAACCTCATTGTGGTTTTGATTTGCATTTCCCTGATTGCTAGTGATCTTGAACATTTTTTCATGTGCCTGTTGGCCATTTGGATTTCTTCTTTTGAAAAATGTCTATTGAGGTCCTTGGCCCATCTCTTAAGTGGGTTGTTTCTTTTGATGTTGTGGAGTTTCTTGATTTCTTCGTAGATTCTGCTTATCAACCCTTTATCTGTAGCATAGTTTGTGAATATTTTTTCCCATTCTGTGGGTTGCCTCTTCACTTACCTGACTGTATCTTTTGAAGTACAGAAACTTCTCAATTTGATGCAATCCCAAATGTTAATTTTGGCTTTGACTGCTTGTGCTTCTGGGGTCTTTTCTAAGAAGTCTTTGCCAGTACCTATATCTTGCAGGGTTTTTCCAATGCTCTCTAATAATTTGATGGTGTCAGGTCGTAGATTTAAGTCTCTAATCCATGTTGAGTGAATTTTTGTGTAAGGTGAAAGGTAGGGGTCTTGCTTCATGCTTCTGCACATGGAAATCCAATTTTCCCAGCACCATTTATTGAATAGACTGTCCTTACTGCAGGGATTGATTTTGGATCCTTGATCAAATATGAGTTGGCTGTAGATGTTTGGATTCATGTCTGGTGTTTCAATTCTGTTCCATTGGTCTATCCATCTGTTTCTGTACCAGTACCATGCTGTTTTGATTACCACTGCCCTGTAGTATGTCCTGAAATCTGGTATTGAGATGCCTCCAGCTTTGTTTTTGTTGTACAAGATTGCTTTAGCTATTCAAGGTCTCCTGTGTCTCCATATAAATTTCAGCACCATTTTTTCCAGATCTGAGAAGAAGGTCTTCGGTATCTTGATTGGTATTGCATTGAATGTATAAATTGCTTTTGGGAGAATGGACATTTTGATGATGTTGATTCTTCCAATCCATGAGCATGGAAGATTTTTCCATTTTTTGGTATCCTCTTCTATTTCTTTCTTTAAGGTTTTGTAATTTTCATCATAGAGATCTTTAATGTCCTTGGTTAAGTTTATTTCAAGGTATTTGATTGTTTTTGTAGCTATTGTGAATGGGATTGATCTTAGAAGTTCTTCCTCAGCCGTGGTATTGCCTGTGATTACAAAGGCTGTTGATTTTTGTGCATTTATTTTATATCTTGATACTTTGCCAAACTCTTCTATGAGTTCCAATAGTCTCTTAGTAGAGTTCTTTGGGTCCCCTAAATAAAGAATCATATCATCTGCAAAGAATGATAGTTTGAGTTCTTCCTTCCCAATTTGTATCCCTTTAATTTCTTTTTCTTGCCTAATAGCTCTGGCTAAAACTTCCAGAACTATATTGAATAGCAGTGGTGAGAGTGGGCATCCCTGTCTGGTACCAGATCTCAGTGGAAATGCTTCCAACTTTTCCCCATTCAAT